CAACTTCAAAAGTTTTATACCATAAACATGAGGATTTGTTTCTCCTCTGGGAGGTTTGTTTCAAGACTGTAACAAAACTAAGAATATTGCTGACTGGGAAAGAAGATAGGTATTTTCCACTTCAACCATGTAATTACTTAAAATAAAATAACTGAAGTCGCAATGGGTTGTTTAATAGGCCTATTAACTGCAGCCAGTATTTTACAAGGAGTCAATTATATAGCACACTGACGAGAATGGAAGATACATTAAAGTTTTAACGTGCAGAAGTTGCCTACAAAAAAGAATGCTACAAGGAGAAAGGTATTCCAGTGAGGTGCCTGGCACGTCTTTTTATGGCCTCCTTGGACTTCTAGTCATTTTTGCAAAACCAATTTTCCAGAGCCTTAGTCTTTAAAACAGGCAGAGAAGGGGTTTAACTGCTAGTTCCATCACCCCCTTAAGGTTTTTAAGTTACAGAAAATGTTTTGTTCAATCTTGTATTTATGTTCTCCTTGATGTGGGTCAGGAGAATCACATTGCATCTGATCTGAGAAGATTTTAGCATTGCTTTCTGTTGCAGGCTAGAATTGCTTAGCTTTCACTCTCCCTAAGGCTTGGAAGATAGCAAACAGGCATACCTTATTGTTTAAAAAGTAGAAGAATACTGTATTTACAGGAAAGCTAACAGACAAGAGGTATGCAAGTAAGCTGTTTCCAGTGGGATACGTAACAAACCAACTGACTGAGGGAGGCTAGAATTTTTACATGTACTGTGCTTTGAAATACGAGACTTGTTATTTAATTGAATACTTTATTGACCTTTAGATATTTGTGTTTTGAAGCTTGTTTGAAGTGTTTTATTAAATGTACAGTTCGTGTCATTCTGTTAACTCCTGCGACATCGCTGAAACCAGTTGTATTGGCTCTTGCCTTTCCATTGGACTATTTCAGTGATGTAGAGAGGGGGGATTTGCTGGTTGGATAACAGCCTATCCTCCATATTATTTTACCCAAGCTTCATGTCCTGGAGAGGACACTCCAGATTTGCGTACAGCATCAAAACACTAGACGCTGTTCCAAATCCTCTATACAGAGCATGTTACCATAGTCTCTCGAGACTGAAGGATGCCTATGACGATTAAACGTAACAATGAGCTTTGCTGGATTAAACTAAAGGTTTACTTGGACAGCAATCCATTACAGTGGTTCTTCATCTTGAGTCTCCAGATGTTCTTGGACTGTGACTCCCAGAAATGCTTGTCAGCGCAACTAGTGGTGAAGTTTTCTGGGAGTTGTAGTCCAAGAACATCAAGGGACCCAAGTTTGGGAACCACTGTGTTACTGCAACAACAAACCACAAGGCTATGGAAAACAACAGAAGAGAGGAGGATAATAGCACCTTCAACATTCATATTTCCCAAAAATGTATTGACAGGCTTGTTTCTTAACATACTGAGATAATATATAGCCATCAAGACTTGTTGCCAGTAACAGTTTTTTCCTCCATGAATTTATATAATACAGGTTTCAAAGCTATCCAAGATAATGGCTAGTACTATATCTTATAGTAACAAATTCCATATTTGATATGAAATTCTCTCTTTTGTTTTTATGATTGACCACTTCATCTCACTGGATTACTCTTGAGTTTTAGTGTTATAAGGAAGCAACATTCTCACTACCAGATTTCTTCACATAACACATATATTTATATATTCTTAACCTGACTTTTTTCTCAGACAGCCTTGGATGCTATAATCTTTCTTGCAGAGGTGTTGCTCCAGCTCCTTAATTATTTGATTGCCACCTTTTGGCATCTTTTCAAGCTTAACAAATACTGTATGCTTTTTGATAAACAATGACCTTTATAGTTCATAACACTCCAATTCTGATTGCATCATAAATTTATACAAAGACCAACACCCAGAGACGTAGGCTAGGATTCTACTAGCAATCCTAGCCAGAGTAGAAGCATTGAATCATTGGGCTTTATCTAAGGGCTAGTTTACCTTGTGACAATTGAGTCAGTGAATCTGTTCTACTTGGGACCAGCAAGAGGATGTAGGCTATATGGATTCTCATATTACTGCTTATGCAGGTACTTATTTTTCACTGGCAAAGAGCAGAAAGGAATGAATTAAGATACATAATTCTAGATAAAGTGACTGCCCCCATCCAGTACGTAGAAATACTGCCAGAACAGTTACATGTATGTAGGCACAGCTTTAGCATTAGTAGTGACAGCACAAACTATCTAGACATCTTTTCAGGAAAGGGGCCTCAATCTGATCCCTTTACTATCTGCCCTCTCTGAACATTAATGACCTGAACTGTTATCTATGCATACAAGATGTGGCTACAAAATGGATCTTTTTAGTAATAGGAATTATACTGTGTTTACATACAATTTGAATGAGGTCTATTAGGTAGATTAATATGGTGGTAATTCTTAGAAAAAAGGCTCCATTAGGCTAATCAGAGATGGTGCCTGTGATTGCATCAACTTCTTTATGAATCTCCATGATAGTAATCTCCTAGCAATCAGTTCTCTAATTCATTAGCTCATTCATTGACATCATGCTTTAAAAAGCCTCCTGATGTATCTGCCATTGTGTTACAAAACAGTATTCTCTGGTAACAATTACCAATTTGTATTGGAACAAAGAATGGTGAAGCGAGAATTTCACATAAGCACATCCATAGTTACCACAAGTTGGCTGAGGTTTTAACACAGGTGCAGAAATGAAGAGGATGCAAAAATTTGCTGCTAGGTGTGAACCTGCCTGCTGGCATTTGGTGCTAGGAGGGCTTGATCCACTCATGTATATTCCATTCAGCCGCTCCTCCCTAGCAAAAAAGAAAAAGGAAAAAGGAAAAAAAAAAAAAGAAAAGGAAAGGAAACACAGAACAGGGCCTACCAAGATGGAATCAATGCAGTCATTACATGCTCAGACCAAGGCATCCCTTCTGATTCTTTTATCCTCTTCCTGTGCACGTCACTCTCGCTTGAGTCAAAGGCAACAAAGGCCCAGATGTCAAAATTGCGATTTAGAGCCCTGCATGTAAGATAAGGCTGTACAACTTGTAAGACAGGGCCTTCCAGATGTTGTATGGCCATAAATCTCATTATTCCAAGCCAGCATCAGCCAAAGGTGAGTCGCCATAGCAGCCACAGTCCAATACTTTCTGAAGGACAACACACTGCTTGCCAGTAAGAAATAATAATGGAGGGGCAGGAAGAACAAACCAAAACTACTGGCAATTTTCTGGGTGAACTGCAGTAGAAAAACAAGGACCATAAGCTTCAACTTCTTTAACAGCAACAGGACAACATCTCTCCTTCCCACCCAAAATTACACAGGTGAAATAAAGAAAGTTTAGGGTAATCAGGAGTGGAGTATTAGACAGAACAGGATGGGCAAACTGCTGTCCTCTTGAGGTCTTTTGAGCCCCCCAAAGCCATCCCAGAGCCTCCCACTTAAAGAATGAAAATGATTTTTGAGACCCAAAAGGACATGTTTCTGTTGCTGGAACTGCAGGTTTTTTTTTTCACTATGAAAGCACCATTCTCCAAGAAAACCCTAAAACCCTTCCCGTGTGGTTGGTCTTTAGTGGCTATTTCTGACCATTTCTGGTCTCTACAGAAATGCAGTGGGGCTTGGAGGCAAGAAGTTGATACTCAAGCATGTTGACATTGCCTACTGCTGGTACCAAAGGAGCCTGAGTTCTAGTCATTACTGACGTTGAAAACAAACTCCACGGCCTTTGGGGAAAAACAACAAACACCTTATGTCTTTTGTACCAGTCTCCAGCAAGTGGATCTTGATAGTCTGGTATAGAAACAAAATAGATCCAGCAAGCCTGAAGTCTTGCTGGATCTATAGTGACACAGTAGTGACACAGTTCAGATAGCAGAAGAGTCCAAGAAAGGGAGCAGGTCTTAATTCCCAAATGATATTGTAGTTTTCAAAAGCCCTTTCCTAGAAATAATCCTGGCTAGAGAACAGAATCTGAAGAAAAAATTCTTTTTGAAACCACAGCAGCTTTGCCTTAATTCAAAGCCATTCTTTAAATAAATAAATTAAATAATCCAAGGTTATTTTATCTTTCCAGCCTTTTTATTTCCCCAAATATACAGAGTTTCCTGGACAACCAAGGAAGTGCTTCTTTAAAATCTGCTGCTTTTTCTGAATTTCAGGAAATCAGAAACACTGTCCTCTTCTGCTCTGTTGAGCAGCAGCAGTCTACTGTTGGTGTCTGCCTATGACAGTGATTTGTGAAAAGAAACCACAATGTGTGCACGACCTCCCAAAGTCAGCTGCCTGGCACCAGGGTAATGAATGGTTTGGATCCATTTTTATAGTATAAACAATTCTAGAAAATATTTTGCCAGTAAGGTTTGCTGAAAGATTCATTTTTTAAAAATTGCTTCCCAGTTTTGGAAAAAAAGAAGCATAGTAGGCTGACGCTAGAAGACAGAAGTCTGAAAAAATAATTTTGGTGGCAAGTGCGTCTTAAAAAGAGTTAACATTGGATGAGATGGCAAAAAGGCATGTCTAAAAGCCTGCCGTAATGCCTCCCATCACCGGACAGTTTGGGGAATAATTCCCATGGATTCATAGATATTATAGTATTCAGTGGAGACATAAATATGAGATCATTAAGTAAGAACATTTTATGAGGCTCTTCCCATGTAAATGTGTAAGGGATATTTAAGGTGCAGTCCTGTACCTGCTTACTCAAAGGTATAATGGGACTTCCAAGAAGACACATTGAGGATTATACTACTAGACAAGTTGAGGAGGTTCTATTGAACCAGCATTTTTGCAACCTTTCTTTTTTCTTTTTCTACATTATCTTAGGATAAAATGAAAGAATTCCTTCTCCCAGCAGAATTCGGATCAACTTGCAAAATACATGGCTGAACATCTCTTTTTGTTGAACTTCAAACTACATTTCTTTCATACGGGCTGATGGCCCTTCTAATTTAGAACTTAAATCAAAACAATGGACACAGATTCTACCAAATACCAAGAACTGTAATGTATCAATACAAATAAATTAGATTCCTTTTTTGTTGCTTATACTATTCACAACAAAGTTATACACAGTGACTACAATCCTGTTGTGTTGCCACACAAGAGCTGCAACCTTTGGAGTTGAACTATCTCAAAAAATCTCCACAGACATTATTGCACGCCATAGATGCCAAGTTGTACAACTCAGTATATAACAGGTAATGTCTACAAATAATTCTTAATTTGAGTCAATTTGCCTTCAAAAGATATACCTTTTAAATAGCAGCACAACAGGACTTCAGCGATAAGAAACATTAAAAACTGAATACATATCAGCCAACATTATTGGAAAAAAGTGATAAAAGTATCTCTCCTCTACCAATCTTCAGAGTCATTTGCAAACCCCTGAGCATATAGCAAGTTTCACTCCTGCAAGGAAATCTGTTCATGCTGTAGTTGTCAGATATGGCTGCAGAGGTTCTTTATTCAGTGGGATAGTCCGTCCATTGGGAACATGCATGGTATATTCATTTATTAAAGCTGCTGTGTTCTTTAGCATCTCATGAAACATATCCATAGTTTTTCTGTAAGCACTGCGTTGCAAGACAAAGGGACGGAAAAGGTTCAGAGGTTCTGCTCTTTGGAACTCTACAGGGATATCCAGTTCCTCTGGCAAGTTCCTGTTGCCAATGAAAAAGTGATAAAGCCTCTTTTCCTGCAAGCTTTTCTCCAAAAATTTGAGCATGTCTTGCAGTCTGGCCCCTAGGAATTTAGAAGCCCAGTCTGAACTGGGATGGGTCTGTAGCAAATGCAGCATCACTGTTTTCAGGTGATAATTTGTAAGGCTACCGGGTCCTGTTAGACTGCATTGCTTCTCATGAAGGAAGGATAGAATCTGTAGGCAGCTGAGATGGCAGGAGTTGGCAGGCAGCATTTTGGAGACAAACTGAATGTATCTCTTTTCACATACTGCAAAGGTGAGAAACCAGTGAATACTGCAAGGGTAGCCATCTGTCGGGCTACTTCTTGGAAAACAGGAGATGAAATACACATCCGAATCAGCATATTGTACCACAGGCGTGAGGTTGAAGACAATGGTCTTTCCTGACCTAAACTTAATTTTGAGGGCACCAGGAACTGCAAGGTTGCTGAAAGTGAGGTTGAATTCATACTTGTGTGAAATTTTATTCCATGCCTTGGTAAGTGCGACCTGGAACCATGCCATAACCTGCTCAGAATCAAGGTATCTGGTATCTTTGTAGCAAAGGAGAGCCTCCATATGGTTATTGTGTCCAGGCTGGTTCATTCTGCTGTGAAGGAGGCACAGCAAGTCTTCCCCAAGCTTAGTCTTGTCACAGATACAGCCTGTGGAGTTCTCATCTGCCCGACCAATCTTGATCACACCAGAACCTTGTTTGTCTGGTGGAACAGATTCTCCCGAACACCATGTCTCAAACTGGAAAGAGTACGGTTCTGGAGGAGTAAAGGGGACAATGAAGTCACATGATAAGGGCTTGTGAGCTCTCCAATTTTCATACATGCTTCCAATTCCTATTGATTCCTCCACTTCCATGTCTGCATCCCGATTACACACACTCCTCAGTGCTTCCAACAGGTCATCTGCAAAGCCTTCCACAAGTTCTCGATTCCTGGCGATATCACTCGTCACAGTCTGGAGGCACCTCTCATAGAAATTGGCCAATGCAGCCTTGTCTGGCAAAACGATTCCCTTGAATGCTCTTCCCAGAATACTAATGTCATCATCTTCATTGGCATAATCCTGCCAGTTCCCCTCCTGGTAGTCTTGCCTCCAGAATTCAATCAAAAGGAAAACCACCATGGATAAAGCACTCCAAAAATTCCAAGAAAGGGAATCATGGCTGTGTTGCTCTTCTGGCCCTCTAGCCTTTTCTGATGACTTTGTCAAAGCTTCTTGAGCTGCAATCTCCTGCTCCAGTTTAAGCTGCTCTATCCTCAGGTTCTCCTCACGTTCCTTCATCTTCTGGATTACTTCTTCTGTGTTTTCAATGACAGTGGCATTTTCCTTTGGGAAGAGAAGTGGATGGTTGACAATAGCTGTGATAACCACCAGGCATACTCTGAAGATTCCTGCTGGCATGGCAAAATCTTGCCTGTGAGAAAGAAGCAGAGACACAAAGTCATCTTAGTTTATATCTGCACATAGAAGGAAATGAAGCACATTCTTGACACATGGAAATAAATGAATTCTAAAGACAGCTCTGAACTTCCAGATGTAGGTAGCAATTAACTTTTCCTAAGGAGGCATTGTTTAATGGCCTGTATATTCCAGGGCTATATTCTCAAGGGAATGGATTAGTAGAAAGCAAAAGGAAATTGATTCCTCAGGGGTAAAGCTAAAGGGAGACTATTAATATCTGAATTACAGTCATCCCCCTCCCCCCAGTACTGCTAGAGACAATTAGGCAGTGTAGTGTAGTGGACCAGCACATGGGAGTATGAATTTGAATCTCAAAACTTCACAGAGAAACAACTAAAAAACCCCTTTCTCCTCTCAGGAGGATTTTTAAAGCACTCTTTCTCTCCTTTGGGAAATCTAGTGGGAGATCTCCCCGGAAGGAACACCAAGATGTACAGGATTACTGCATCTTCCCTGCACAGGGTTCTTCTGGAAGGGGCAGAAGAAACACCGAGCTGTACAGTCTTCGACTGATCATGAAGCTTACTGAGTGACTTAGAGCTGACCATAGACTCTCAGCCCAACCCAGTTTATAGAGTTGCTGTGACACCAAATTGGGAAGGAGGAGAGCCATGAATACCGCTTTGAGATCTTTGGGGAAAGCATGGAATACATAGTGAGCAAGACGTAACATATAATCCTCATATAGTTTATTGACACTGGCATGCCTCAGGATGCTAATTAAGAATTCTCTGTCTCCTAAATGCTTCCCAAGACATGCAGTCATGAAACCACGAGGGCCTGGTTCCCAGAAAAGTCACTAGCTAATATTATTAGAGGATGCTACTTTGTGAGGGATTCTTCCAGAATTTGCTCACTGTATATACTAACAGCATGGAAACAAATGTGAAAAAAAACCATGGCAGATACAAGCATGCACTGAAACCCACACACATTGCTGGGTCACCCTTATATATCTTACTAACCACAATAACTAGGAGGAAGCAGTAGTAATTCTCACTCTGGCCGTCTGCTGATCTGCAATACATCAGTACTGCTCCCAAAGGTGCCAAGAGACTGAATACACTTCTAGTTTGTAATCTAATAAAATTCACTCCTACGAAATTTTTAAAAAAGGACATAAGTTGACCTAATTTATTTTTCAGATGCCTATGGCTGTATTTTAATTTTTTTCCCCTCAACAGATTGATCTCCAATTTAGATATGAAGCATCTGGAAGCACCTCCTAGCGCTACAAATCAAAAGTCATTGTGTAGCGGTTCTGAATCTTTTAAGTATCTTTCCTGTGAAAAGAAAAAAAAAGGAAGAAAACATGAGAGAATTACAAGGGGAAGATGACCTTGTCTGGGTCCCCTATAAAACTGTATGAATGAGGCAAAGTAACTGTAAAATAACCCCCATGTCTGGAGGCACTATAGCTGTCATTAGACAACCTGCGCACATCCCAAAATGATAGTGAGAGAAAGGCTTTCCAATGAGAATACTACTCCCTCCTGCCCTCAGCCTGTCAGTTTGTTTCCATGGCAGCAAGAGGGTGGTATGGTAGTAAACCAAGACATTCCTTTACTTGCAAGTGCCGTCACACACCAATGTCCAGTACCAATGGTAGTTGGCACTTTTCCAGCTTATTATACTATTAAAGTACCATATTAGAATTCATCACATATCTTTCACATAAATTGATCCGGCTCATTAGCAATGAGAACAATCTGTGCATAAGAAGCTACTTTATTCTCTAGGTCAGGCTACTTAAATTCTCCTCTAGACAGGTAGTTACTCTCCCATCTCTTTTCCATAAATGGGTATCTGCCTTCAACTGGAAATGCTAGGGATAGGAATCTGAACTTTTGTATGAAAAACATATGTAATAAGCTCCCTACCAATGCTAACCTCCTGCCCAAAATATCTTAAACATCAAGCAATATATATCGCATATACTCGAATTTTCTTCTAGCTTCCTTTTATTTTTTTAATCTCTCTAGGCTCTGCTGATGTATTAAGCCATTACATATATATCCCATCTTCCAATTTCCCGTGAACTACTTGTTTACAACATTCTATGGTATTACAAACATGCATAGTGCTATACAGGCTATACATTTTTGTTTGTTTTCATAACCAGGGTGGAACTGATTTAAATCAAACATATTTAAATCACAAATTAAATAAAAACATTATTTTTGATTAATAAATATTTTTAAATATTTTTTAAAATAAATAAATAAAATAAATAATTTAAATCATGATTTAAATCTATTTGATGTTCAAGAAAGTCACCGATTTCTTTCATAAGTGCCTGCTGTTTAGAGCCTAGTTCATTTCAAACATACATAATTGTCATCTAGTAACAGCAAAATTAGTAGTGACTTGCAAAATACCATTGGCAAATACTTTATAGTTACATATTCTTGGAGTACATCAACCACTGTGGAAAGCAAAAGAACTACTGCATTACTATCACTTTGTGTGTGTGTGTGGGGGGTCTAAAATCTCACTATTTTAAAGTGGCTAGCAAAACATGGGGCCCTCCAAGTGGAATTTAGTGCACCACTTATGAATGATACCTTTCTAGACTGCAGCCAAGAAATCAGAAGGCTGAGACTAGGAATGGCAGCAATGAAGGAACTAGAAAAGATAATCAAGTGTAGGGATGTGTCACTGGGGATCAAGATCATCCACACTCTTGTATTTCTGATTACCATGTATGGGTGTGAAAGCTGGACAGTAAAGAAAGCTGACAGGAAAAAAATTATTTGTTTGAATGTTGTGCTGAAGGAGAACTTTGCAAATAACTTGGATTGCCAGAAATATGAATGAGTGGGTCCTAGATCAAATTAAGCCTGATCTATCTCTGGAGGCAGAAAAGATGAAACTGAGACTGCTCTAATTTCCTGGAGGCAGAAATGATGAAACTGAGACTGCTCTAATTTTGGCATATCACGAGAAGACAGGATTCTCTGGAAAATACCTTAATGCTGGGAAAGGTCAAAGGCAGTAGGAAAAGAGGACTACAAAATATGAGATGGATTTACCCTTAAAAGAAGTCACAGGCTTGGGTGGTTTACAAGAGCTGAGCATGGCTGTAGAGGGCAGGAAATTCTGGAGATCACTCATTCATATGGTCACTGTAGGTCGGAGTCAACCTGACAGTACAGAACAAGCTGTCAAGAGAAATCTGCTTCTGCAATCCTTGATATGCAGCAAAATAAGATTTATAGGTGACATGATTCTTGGGTCTGTATTCAGCTTGCTAAACTACCAATTGAAGAGACGGTATGGAGAAAATGATGGTGAACAGATTAGGGTCCTAAGGACAGTTTGATAGTAATAGTGGAGAGAAATGGGAATAAGACAAGGTAACAAGAAACCCAATAAACAATAAGAGAAGCACATCGTTATGAAGAGTACAGCTTCCCCCATGTTGCTTGGTGCTGGTCACCATGGTCAGTCTATAACACTTGCTATCTGAGGTAAAAGGAAAAAAAGTCCAACCCCAGCCCCCTTGCTTTTCCACATACAAATGTCAACTAGTCTGGCAGCTTATCTTTATTTCAGTACGGACCATTGGAGGTATCAAGGCTAAATTAAGGGGTGCAGGACATGTCAGGTGTTAAAGAGGAGCTTCTCCAATAAAGGAAAACAGCCACAGGCTCAGGCGTGACCTGGGAGCATCTGCTGCCATTACCCAGCACTGGCTCCCTGAAGCCAGCCCAATAACCCAAGATAGCCTGAAGTGGTGCACAGATCCACCTCGACACTTGCCAGTGTCAGCACATTAAATGGTCTCGTTGCACCATTTAAATGCCAATACTTTCATCTATTTTCACCTCAAGGGCTAAAATTCTGTTTCTTAGCATGGTAAATTGCACTACAGTAGGCCCACTGAATCGGCAAGGATTTGGTAAGTCAACTCCTCCTTAAGTTCGTTTGATTCATATGAGTCTGTTCTAGTTGTGACATACTGTGTTAAGCAACCGCATTTCAGCCATGGTGTCACTTCAAACAGGGTGGTTCAGCCCGCTGCCCAAATACTTCCCATGTAAAGACCAGTCAAGAGAACTGGGTCTTTGTTGTATTGCAGAGAAATGGAAAAGAAGGAAGACTATGAACACCACAGTTTATTCTCTTATATAATATTGCAATTAGAATACAACAAGTTAGATTTCTATACATCCTATTTAGCACTAACAAAAAAGATCATTGTTTTCCAAACCCTGATCTCACAGAGACTGTTAAAGATAAGCCAGAAGTTATCCTGCAGGTCAGGTCAGTGCTTTCATCTGGTTCAAGAAATCTTCAGGAAGTGCCACAGTTTCCTTTCCTTGGCTCTGCATTTTAAAATAGAACTGTGTGCATGTTTTGAGATTCAAATATAGAATGGCAGGGAGCCAATAACTGAGCTTTGGTCTTGAAAAGCTAACTAGAGAAGTCACTGACATGGAAGTGGGCAGAGAAGAGATTTAATAGCAAGAAGAAAATGGGATGAAATTGTTAGGGACACTGTTACACCTTCCTCTTATATACCAATATATTTGTACTATACTGTATATTTGTCCATTCACTCAGGCCTTTATAACTCCCTCCACGTAGCCACTGCTACATGATAACAACATCACTAAGTTTGAATAAAATTAGTAAAGTTTTATTAAAATAACAGTGTCAAAAAGGTGTTATTTAATCCTAGGCTTTACATTCATTCAGCACCACACTTCCCTCTCTCTATCACCTCTCCCTCTCTCAGACTCAACTCTCTTTAAAAACCTCATTTTACACCAACCTTTCAACCCTCAGAGTGATCTAGTACAGAACGAACCTAAGACTGGCCTCTCCATTGCCTTGCCCACACATTCCATCTCCTTAATTAATTTCTTTCTCAGCCAATCAGAACCTTTCTCATCCACATTCCATTCTCCTCACTCACATCTCCTGATCACATACCTACCAAATCAATAC